GAGGCTCCCGCTGGTGGGGGCGGCGGTCCGCGACCGTAGCCGCCGCCCGGTGAGCCGGCCATGCCAGGCGGAGGCGGTCCGCCGCGATCCGGCCCGCCCGGGGGTCCGTGGCGGTTGTAGCCTCCTCCACTCGGTGGCGGACCTCCGCCGCCGAAGCCGGCCCTTGGTCCATAGCCTGGGCGAGGCGAAAGTCGAGAGATGCGCACAATGGTCAGCCTCGCGGTCAGCGCTGCGGACACCGGGGACCTTGTCTGAACAGAGCGTGAAACGAAGCATGGCGGGCACTCACCTCCTGGTCCGCCGCCGACCCCACTCATCGGGCCGCTGCCAAACGTCATCGAGGAGCCGAACCCGACGGGCCTCTCGAGGTCCCTCGGCTTGGGCAGGCCGCGCTCCTCGTACGCCTTGTTGATCGAGTCGATGATCTTTTGCACCTGGTCCGGCTCGAGGCCCGAGTAGTAGTCGCGTACATTCTGGATGTGGTTCCTGCCGCTGTTGTGGGCCTTACGCACTGCAGGGAGCGGTGGATGTGGCGGAGGACGCGATGGAGCAGAAGCGGGGGAGACACGGTCAGCTGGTTCGTGTCACGGGCGATGCCGGTCATCAGACGGTGCTAGAGGTCCACCCACCCGAGATGGAGTCGTGCGTCAGGAAGACGTCGCAGTAGTCTGTTGCGGGACAAGAAGACGGGATCAATCAGCACATGCGTCGGGATCCATGACAGGCATACGCCCATGGGTCGCACTCACCGCAGTAGTGCTTTCCCTTGGTCATGGTGGCAGAAGTTGCTGAACCGGGCGGAGAGGGGGGTGCCTAGATCGAGGTAGGTCGCGCCGCTTCCGTGCTACGTCGCTCGAGGTCGTTGCCTCTCGGCGCTCTTCAGTGTTCCACAGGGGCGTTGCCTTGGTTCCGTGGCAGTGTACGATGAGCTGCGGGCTTGCTGCGGACTAGAAGACGGATGTGCGGGGCGAAGGTCGTGAGTGGCAGTCGTCGAGATGGAAGGACGAAGGTGACAGCGGCGTAGCGAGAAGGCGAGGAGCGCCTGGCTGCTGGCTGGGCCGTCTTCCGAAGCCAGGCCAACCTGAGGCCGGATCCGCGCCCCGCTCAGCCTGGCCCCTGGCAGGCCTCGTCCGCCCCTGGCCCCGCGCTCCCCTGTGCACTCCACATTTGGGGTTGCGAGCCAGGGTGCACCTGCAGCACCCACCACGGCCGCAGCCGCTGTGGTACCGCCACGGCCACCACCTCGACCTCGACCACCACCACCACAGACACCGTCCTCTATCTTGACCACCTGGCCCTGATTTATCGCCAATGGCCCTCTGATGCGATCCTGGCAAGCTACGTCGCCCACTCACGCGCTGTGCATCGACTCGACCGGAGCTGCTCATCGGCCGCTTTCCCGACGAGAGAGCTGGCTGTTTCGGATGCTCTGCCGGCTTGGACTGGCCACCGTTCGTGCTGTGGCGCTTCAAGGTTGAGCGCTGCTTTGTCGCTGCTCGAGCATCGGCCGACGGGAGCTGTTGCGATACAGCACGACTGCTCCGCTGCTCTTCCAGCGCATCCCCTCCGCGCTCGTCCGTGACAGTTCGCCCGGTCGTCTGGCCCACTCCCCGACTGGGCTCCCTCGGCCCTCAACCGCGGCACAGCCATGCACCTTCCGCGCCACACGATCGAATCGCACGCCCCAGTTCCTCTGTTTAGCAATGCCGCCTTCTCATCGCCCTCGACTGCGGCTCTGGGCGATACCTTTGGGCCCCCCTCAGGCAGCGGCTATGCACGCCACAACCAGAGGGCCGTCGAACAGCCAGACGGACCGGCGCTCTCGGACCCCTCCCTATTCGCCTGCGCGACGCCATCGGGCTTTCTGGTCGCGCAGTGCGAGCCGCTCAAGGTGGTAGCACGGCGTCACTGGCCTGCATCTCAGGGAGGGCTCTCGCACGCTGTGCCTGTGCAGCATTCGTCGCTTCTCGTCCTCGTCGGCGGGGGCCGCGTGCCCAGGTTCGCCCCCAACAAGGTCGTGCTCTGGGACGAACAGGCCGAAAATGTCCCTTCCGACCCTTCGAATCGCTCCCGGGGCAGTGGCAAACAGAGGGCAGCGTACGACCCGCCCCGACATTCGCTCTCGCGCCAGGCATCGACCGTCTTTTCGGCAGGCTCCAAGTTCGACAGCATCTTGCACGACGCCCAGCTGACCCAGCACCGAGGCAGTCAACCTCATGACGACCAGGAATCTGCGTTCAACAACGACGACGTCAGAGACTGGCAGCGTGCGGCATCGACATCGCCTCCCGACAGTCTGCGCTTCTCTCGGACCTCGCTGGTCGACTTCGACGACCTCGAGGATCATCGCCAAGGGCGTCCGCTCCCCTCGTTGAACGCATCAAGGGCGACCCAGACTGCAACCTCGCATGGCAGAGAGCCAGAAGACGATGCTGATCCTAGTTCCGCAATGGAAGCCAGCTTCGGCGCGAGCTCGATCGGGATAGGTCGGCTGCAGAGGGCATCTCAGACGGACGGCAGCGCGGGCTTGGAAGAGAGCATGCACAGCAGCCAGCACGGCATGCGCTCGTCGTCGGCTTCGATCATGGCGAGCTCCGCTGGCCTCGACGATCCCTTCGCCATCGACGAGCCGCGATCGAGGTCGCCGTCACCCACCAGCACATCCTTTAAACCTCTCAAGCAGCCTCTTGACGAGGTTTCGCCGCGGATCGCCTCCTTGTCGTCGAACGCCTCGCTTCCGGACGCGAGAGCAGAGTCCCGATCGACGTCGCCGCCCGGATCAGGCGTCAGTTCCCTCTCCGCTTCGGCCATTTCCACGGCGTCGGGAAAGAGCACGAGCGCGAGCACCAGCACGAGCACCGTGCTGGACGGCAGCGAAGGCGACACTGCCGGCACCTCGAGACCGAAGCGGGCGCCCGTCAAAGGGCGCGAGGTGGCAGAGCTCGAGTTCGGCGAGCTGGTCCGCGGCATCCGCGTCGCCACCGTCGCCGCCGCTTCGCCTAGCTCGGCGCAGTCGACGCAGACCGGTGGCACAAGTGCGGCGACCACCTTCCTGGTTGTGCTGCTCTCGTCCAAGGCGATCGTGTTCGAGCTCTGCCAGCGCTCTCGCGAACATGCGGGCGGCGGCGGCTGGACCATCACCAAGCGGGTGGCGGTCGACACCTACCGCAACGTCCACGGCCTCGGCGCCGTCGCTCCGAGCTCGGCCTCGTCCGCCGTCGTGGCCGTGCCTGGGCGGCAAAAGGGCCACGTCCAGATCGTCCACCTCCAGGCAGCAGCAACACCACCAGGCCGAGAGCGGCCACAAGCGGCGTCTACCGGCGGTTCCGCGACTCCACGCCCAGCCCCTAGCGGAGCGTCGACCATGATCGTCGCCCACGAGTCTTCAATTGCCGCGATCGCGCTGAGCCCGTGCGGCAAGCTTCTGGCCACCGCATCGAGCAAGGGCACGCTGCTGCGGATCTGGTCGACCGCCAGGCCTGCCTCCCAGGGATCCAGAACGGCTGCGGCTGCCGGGCGTACCGGCTTCGGTGCCTCGCTGGTACGCGAGCTGCGAAGAGGCACCGACCCGGCGCGCATCCTTGGGGTGGCCTTCGCGCCGGACGCCTCGGCCATCGCCGCCGCCAGTGACAAGGGCACGGTGCACATCTTCCAGCTGACGGACGTCGTCGACGGGCAGCGGGGCTCCGCGTCGGCATCTGCCTCTCCGTCCGCGTCGTCGACGTCCAGCAGAGCGGACGGTAGGGCTGCATTTGGCAGCACCGCGTCCAAGTACCTGCCGGGCGGGCTTGGGCAGCTGGCCAACCACATCCCAGCGTCGATGCTGCCGCAATACTTCAAGTCCGAGTGGAGCGGCGCCCAGTTCCGCGTGCCGCTCAAGACGTTCGGAGCCGACAGCCGCGCTCCGCCACCGCCGTCGACGCCGTCTTCGTCGTTCCAGGAGAGCGACGAGGCTTGGGCTGGCGGTGGCAACGACGGTGCTGCAACTTCGGCGGCGAGGGCTGCAGGGGCCGTGAGTGCCAGAAGGGACGCGGTCAGGAGCCTGGGCACAGAAAAGTCGACCGACGGCGCCTGGGCCGCCATGAAGGGCCGGCTCGAAGACATCCGCAAGGGCGAGCCGGGCGTCGACGAGCGGATCTTCCTGTGCTGGGTGACGCTGCCCGAGCGAAACGCGGACGAGGCGTCGAGCAGCAAGCCTCGACGGAGGTCGACCGGGCCGCCGCCGTCGCCGTTGTCGTCGTCGAGCTCGTCTGCGAGCGCGGGCACGTCGATCCGCGACCTGCGGGACCGCTTCCGCCTGATTGTGCTGACGACGTCGGGCGCGTGGTACAAGGTGGCTCTGCAGCAGCGCGCGTCGGCGGACGGCGACGCCGACAATAGCAGCAGCAGCGGCGACGGCCAGAGGCACGACGAGGTCAACGACGGGAAGGTTTCGACGGTGCTCGACATGTACCGCGAGGATGCGGCCAGCGGCGGCGGCGGCGGGGGCCGTCCATCGAAGGGCGACCGGCATGCGCTGGGTTGCAAGCTGGAAGAGTATCGACGCTTTGGCGAGAGCATCGACGGGTGGGAGTTTTGAGCGGGCGGCGGCACGACACAAGGAGCGCGCCCCTCTGGTCCGCAGCAGCAGCAGCATTGACAGCACCGACAGCACCGACAGCACCGAAAGCACCGCATACCAGCTCGATACGACACGATGCGACCCGACGACGTTCCCTGTCCAACTCTTCCTCTCTCTCACACACACACATTTCATGCCTGGCTTGACCGACGCCTTGCACGCTGATTATACCTTGTCTCAGTTCCCATGATGATGTCGCCTAGTCTCGATCCGCCGCCCAGTTATGTGCACTCCGTGTGGTCCCACGAGGGAGCCAGAGGGGGGAGCGGCTAGGCAGGGAGGACCTGTTCGCCGGCGATCTGACCGCACTCTTTGCACCTGCGCCCCTCTGCGTCGGCCTTCCACCCGTCGATGATGGGCTTGAGCTGTGTGCCGAGGTCGGTGCACTGGAATTTGACCTCTTTGATGAGGGTGGGTTTGTCGTGGACCTTGTTGGGGCAGTACCACCGCATCGCGTCTGCCCAGCAGGGGGAGGAGGAGGAGGAGGAGGAGGAGGAGGAGGAGGAGGAGGAGGAGGAGGAGGAGGAGGAGGAGGAGGAGGAGGAGGAGGAGGAGGAGGAGGAGGAGGAGGAGGAGGAGGAGGAGGAGGAGGACGGAGGAGGAGGACGGACGGACGACGCGCGACGACGCGACGCGTACGACGGTACGGTACGGGTACGGTACCGTACCGTACGTACGTACGTAC